ATTCATTGACATAAACCCATCTTCCTTATTAATAAAATTAAATATAATTATCTATTTTATATTACTTTTAACAATTGTTATAATTAATTAATTTAATTTTTTACTTATACGATTATTTTCTAATTTCAATAATGATGTTCATTTAAAATACAATTTATTTGTTGTTAACGTTACGTAATTTATAAATTGATGTTATTATCATTTAAAATTATTGCTCTTTAGTTTTAAACTACTTATTATTATTAATAATTTAAAGAAAACTTTTAAGAAACACTTAATATTACTATTAAAATGTGAGACACACACTAAATAATAAACAGATAAGATAGACAATTTATATGGATAATATGACATATCCATGATTTTTATAATTTGATTTCATTATCTATAATTATGGTTCATCAGTTTTAAAACCACTTATTATTAATAATAAACGAAAGAAAACTTTGAGAAGACACTTATTATTATAATTAAAATATTAAACACACACTAAAATATAAAGTGATAACATAGATAATTTGCATTTTAAAAAAGACTTACATAGATATTATTGATAATATTGCATATCCTTGATTTTTTATTAATATTACTTTGAAGCAACACAAACATACATACATATATATAATATTTAATTAAATATTATCTATATCAGTTTCCATAACATCTAATTGATAACATGAATCTAATCTAATTTATATTAAAGTTTCAACCACAATATATAATGATTATCTTAAAAGAATACTTAAACCAAGAAAAATATAAAAAAAAAAAAAAGAAATAGTATATAAAAATTATAAATTAAAAACTTTAACATAATAACATGACTCGAAAAATTGTCCAAAGCCCTTAAACCAACACAAAACCTAAAAACTTGTTTTCTTTGTGAATTTTGTATGTGATTTGTATTTATGTGTCTACACAAAGAGAATGACATTTTTACAGTAGACCATCAATTAATCGCTTATTACACATATTATATAAGTTATAAAATCTTTCATGATGCGTAATTAATTACTTTGAAGGTGAAAAGGTGTGGGGGTTTCAAATACATAAGGTGCATGGAAATTTATGTGGGGATTTCAAATGCATGAGGTGATATGAAAAATGTTTCATTTATAAGTATAGTATGACAATCATATATACAATATTTAATTAAATATTATCTATATCATTTTCCATAACATATGATCGATAACATGAATCTAATCTAATTTATATTAAAGTTTTAACCACAATATATAATGATTATCTTAAAAGAATACTTAAACCAAGAAAAAAATATAAAAAAAAGAAATAATATATAACAAACTTACAAATTAAAAACATTAACATAATAACTTGGCTCGAAAAATGATACAAAGCCCTCAAACCAACACAAAACTTTTAAACTTGTTTTCTATGTGAATTTTGTATTTGATTTGTATTTGTATGTCTACACAAAAAAATGACATTTATATAGTAGACCATCCATTAATTGCTTATTACACATATTATATAAGTTATAAAACCTTTTATGATGTGTGCTGATTTACTTTTAAGGTGAAAATGTGTGGGGTTTCAAAATGCATAAGGTGCTTGGAAATTTGTGTGAGGGTTTTAAATGCATGAGGTGATAGGAAAAATGTTTCCTTTATAAGTATAGTATGATATAGATAGATATATAGATTTATATATATATATATATATATATATATATATATATATATATATATATATATATATATTTGTAAAAGTTGAGGGGTTGTTAAGTATTTAGCACTAAAATGATGATTAACAACGACCAACCTTTAAAATTATGTTTTTTTAGAGACCTTCATATGACATATGTGCCATATTTAATGTTAAAAAGGAGCCACCACAAATATAAAGGAGAGTTTGAGGATTTTTGGCCTCCAAAACACAAAAATGAAACATTTGGAGACTTGGAGTTGCTTTAAACGTCATTTTTCTTAACTTAATTGTGATTAGGATTTTGTGTTTTTGATTCATTTTATGTAATAGATGAAGTCGAAGTCTTGGAGTATGGAGAGTAGCTCAATTCCAAGTAAAAAGTTATCACTAAAGTTGAACTTTTGTTCCACTAACTATATTTAAACCTATATACTCTTTGAACTTATCATTAGTATATAGGTTTAAATGTAGTTAGACCATCTTTAATTCAAGTTTAATGGGGATTTTAATCTCATTAAACTTAAAATCCACATCATAGGACAGTGATAAGGATTCAATAGAATGGTGGAGTTCAATCCTCATTGAATTTTACACTCTCTTTCTTCATAGACACACATCCTCATTTAATTTTTAATTTCATGCTAATTAATTATTTAAAAAATAATAATTAATAAAAAATGATAAATAATGTGGCAATCCATTAAATTGTATATAGGTTAATGAAATATAGAGTCTAATAGGTAAATATGTATAATGAATGAAATATATGTGTGTCAATCTATTAAACTGATATGCAGGACCGGTTCATTGATTTTCCATGCCTAGAGCGAGATAATAAAAATAATGCCATAATGTTTATCCAATAAAGAAAATACATATGTAGATTACAAATAACTCAATAATACTTTAAAACACCAAATTTAATATTCATTTGTTTTAAATTTCAGCCATTATAACTTTTAACTATTTTTAATTAAACAAAACATGTTTTCATAAGTTATTATAACACAACAGTCACATGATATTACATTATAACTATTTTTAATGCAACTATTATTCATATTAAAGAATTCATATAAAAGATACCATTGTTTTGAGTAAATGTATAATAGACAAGCTAAAAAAGTTTCAAGCCATTTTTTTTAGTAAATGTTTAATAGGCAAGCTAAAAAATACATATTTATAATCCACACGTAAAGACATCTTGAATGAATCGGAATATAACATTTAATAAGTTTTAAAGATAAAATCCAAACACTTTGTACCAAACAAATAAGGCGAAATCTAAAATAGTTAAGGAAGATATAAGATTGTATGCAAATGATAAAAGCTTTCAGTAAGCTGATAAAAATCTATCCCACCCATTTATCATATCACACTGAATTTCATAACATTTTATGACATTGTGAAAATATTAGGAAAATAACAGCATAAAGAAATATGTGACAAGTGTTTTTATCTCGTTCAGATATTTCATCAAACATTTGGTATGCGTTTGAACGTTATCAAAATTAGTAAGAAGTTCAAATACAGATGGTTATATCAAAATCGAATTGAAACATACTTTAGGGTAATCGCCAATCTTCTTCTCCCTAGCATAAAGATAGTAGTTGTGGAAGTAGACGAAGCAATATTGGGTAATTTGATAAATATGCTCACAAAAGTCGGAAAAAATTAAAAAAAAAAGAAAAAAAAAAGATGAGAATAAGAAAAGCATTTGCTAATTCCAATCCGAAATAGATCCTTTGGATACCTATTTCATTTCAAGAACTTCAACAAAACATACATTCATTCGAAAAGCTTCAACCCTTTAAATTTAAATCAACTCTTCACAAACATAGAGCGATGCATTCCAGATTTCAAGTGTGCAAGCGATCCATTTCCTCGCCTTTTGAAATAACATGAAGGTGTGTCTCTTCGTGTTTTGAAATTGGAGATGCATTTTCTAATACAAGTCGGTGCGGCGCTGCCCCTAATTGAGGGAGTTAATGGAGGATAAAAGTTAGCTCAGACGAATACAACACATAAAAATTAGACGGAAACTTATGCTCTCTTACATTTGCTGCCCTGGGCCATGGCCAAGTTCACCCAGCCTTCAGGTCGGCCCTGCTGATACGAGTTCAACGACATTGAAGATAACCTTAGACTAAACGGTGTGGTGATGGGGACACCGACAATATTCGATGTGCCATCCTTTCATCGTCGGTGAACATCACGCCGTGAAGGGGGTTTTACCGCCGATGGACTTCTACTGTTGGGAAAATTTTAATTTTTATGGCATTTTGTGGAAGAAGACGATGCCAAACGGTCAGCGACGGCTAGTTTGACATTTTTCATTTTTTTAATCTACTATATATACAAATCAAATTTCCAAAATTTCACACGATGCACTCTTAGCAACATTTTTTATTTGAAAATGTCTTCTTCCAACAATCCAAACTCTTCCAAACAAATGACACAATTGGCACAACTGAATTCAACTTTGGAGAGGCATATGACTGAAACCGTCAGACTCACCGAGTATATGTTGTTAATGCAAGATGTGAGACACCCCGACCTCGAAGATCAAGAGGCGGCTAAAGCGGTGAAGTAGTTGATTCGTGAAAAATATAAGCTAAACCGTAAATGAAATTTCAATGTTATGTTTTTTTCTAGTTTTTTATTTTTTATTTTTTATTTTTATAATTTATTTAATTTTTCATTTCATTTTTTTAGGTTTTTAATGTAATTTTTAATTTCATGTTAATTTTTTACTTTTAAGATTTCTAAAAAGTAATTTTTAATTTTATGTTATTTTTAATTTTAGTATGGTTTTTAAAAAAAAGTTGTTATTTTTTATTGAAATTAAAAAAAACAAAAAACAAAGAGAAAAAAAACCGTTTAGCACACCCTAACCCTAACCCATATGTGAAAATTATAAAAAATATGAAAGTTGACTTATCATCTACGATGACCCCATTTTACCATTGACTAAAAAAAAAAAAAAAAAAAAAAAAACACACTACACCTCTTAGCCTTGGTGGAGCAAAAATTAAACTTAAATGGTAATTTAAAAAAAAAAAAAAAAAGAATTTGAATTACCTTGATAGAACAAACTGAAACATTAATCCTACCAAAACTATTTAAAAAAAATGATTATATCATTTAATAATCTAGATTTTGGTTATAATTAATAAATGATTTTAGTCCAGACAATACATCGGAATAAACCAAGCACCCATCTGTTATTTGTCAACAGAGAATGAGAAAATGCAAGAAAAAGAGGAGCAATGTTCAAGTATCCAACAAAAGACAAATGTTTCAAAGACCTAAACAAAACACATGAGTAATCAAACTTCAATGGTTCGATCTAGTGGTTCGTCGGAATCCTCTTTCCCTTTAACGTTAACCACACTGTCGGATTGACGGACAGGCGAGCCCGTCTCACGACGCTTATGCACATGACCGGCTGCCACAGCTCCGCCATAACTACTAACATTACTAAAGATCAACGCAACAATGCCAACAACAGCCGCCGCAAACGCAGCCCCAAACGACCGATTGATGTTCCCTACGCCACTCGAACCAATGGCGAATCCAACAAACGCTCCAAGCATTCGAACCCACGAGAACCACGCAGCAAACACGCCTTCTTTACCCGACGGCGCACAGTCCATCAACAAGATTCGACTGTATGCATGCAAAACACCAGAAGCTATACTTTGTGATGCAGCAAGGAATAAAACGTGACTCTTGTGCCAGTTTTCTAATCGGTAGTAAAACCCCATTCCAGAAGTTAGTGTCGAGAGCAAGAATCCGAAAATTTGCATTTTTACTGCGTCCGATCGGATCACCTTTTGGATTGGTTGTAACAATGGCAGAACCAACAATGGGAAGAAGAAATATGTTAACCAAACGAATAGTAGGTCTTTTGGGGGAGTACAAAGTTGGCCGACGATGTAGAGGAGTCCACCGGTGAATATGCTCATTGTTGAGAAGGACGAGAGGAAAACTCCGACGAGAGTTCCGGCAGCATGTGGGTACTTAAAAATGGAAATGAAATGGCCAGTTGAAACCCTGCTGTTGTCATTTGATGATTCGTTTCCGTTTGATCGAGTGGCGGTGATGATATACGCGATTCCGGCGAACCATAGAATGCCGCTGAAGATTGACACAACCCATAAACTAATAAACCCTTCGGAGTTTCTGAGCATGTAGTAAGTGAACGATGCAATTGCGGCGGATCCAAAACAGCCACCGGCGGTGGCGTAGAGTGAGAGCCAACCGGAGACGGCTTGCCTGTCAGGGAACTGAAGTTTACGGATGGTAGCGCCGACAAAGCCACGGACCATGAGACCGAGGTGGCGGTTGTGGAAGGCGGATCCAACGGCGTTCGAGGCGACAATAGCTGCAACGTAGGGTGGCATAATCCAGACGGTTTTAATGGCGCCAGCGGGGAGACAAAATACGGCTCCAATAGCGGTGGCGATTGCAGCCATGACGTGGGAGTTCTGGCGGTGATCGAGGTGGATGGAGACTGAGGCGAGTAGAGGTGCAGCGACGATTAAACCGGAAAACCAAGAGATTGATGTCCATTCTAGTGCAGAGAATTTCATGCTCCCCACTTTTACTCTAGCGTATGTCAAAGCTTCAAACCTGAAATTAATCAACCACACATATATACATACTTCATACTAAATGCCACTTGCATGTAGAATTGAAGTAAGAAGAAATTACGAGACTTACAAAAGGGTTTCCTTTTTGGTGCAGTGAAAACCTTTACGATTCGTATACCACCCTCGAGCAGGTTCCGGTGGTTCGCTATTAAAAGTTTGACTTATGATGAGCGGAAACACGATGGTAAGAAGAACTGTATGCGTGAAATACGAACACAGTTCATAAAAACACCAACCCATGATCTCACCCGTGTTTGGCTTATCTTCATACTCCTCATACGACTCTTCACTCCCACTTTCACTATCGCTCTTTATTATCACGGTTTCCATCACTTTGACATCCAACGACTGCCCATCTTCATCGTCCTCCAATGACCTCGGCCTCCGTGGTGTGGCTGCTGCGACGTTAGTCTCGGGATTGGCTTCTTCAAACATTTTTGCGATTGAGAAGTTATTTGAGAAGTTAGGCGGAGGGGGCGGGGGTTTAAAACTTGGTGCATGAAAATTAACAGCTGGGAGAGTGGAACTACCGAGAGTTTCTGATTGGGCTTTGTAATGTTCAATTAACGGGTGGCAATTTGCAATTTGGCATAATGGCATCATTCTTTTCTTGTTTTCTTTCCGCATGTTCCATTTTGTTTGATAGCATTTATATATACATATACGTACACATCATATATACAGAGTAAATTTTTGCAAAATGGTCCATATGGTTATGTGTTTTCTTAATCAATTCCTGAACTTTTAATTGTAATACTAATATTCTAATGATTTGATTTTGTTCTGATTTTAATTTCCGACTTAAAACTGATTAGACTTTATCGTTTTATGTTTTAATTATTTTTAAAATAATGAAAATTAAATGGCCCAACACCTAACCCCAACCCTCCTCGTCCTCACTCATCATCCTCTCTCTTCCGTTATAGATTCATAGCTCCACTACAACTTTCTATCATAAAGTATGCACACTATAATTCTATTATTTAATGGTCTCGATACTAACCATCTACTAAAAAAGTGTCAAAAACAATGATGATTTTTCTATTTAAGAACAAAACTGTGACAACCAAAAAGCCCAAAAATGTATACCAAAGTAAAAGGGGGCTAAATGTAACTTGCATACATTGTACAATGAGACAATGAGCTTATTGGCTGCCATTTGGCCTTAGAGAATATTTATGTAACACGTTTTTATTGCATCAATTTGCTACTAAGTTTCATATTCGTTCCTTACCAACAAAAAAAACATGAACGACTTCTTACTTTTTGTGTGTTCTCGATTCAGTAAATACCTATAAATATGTAAATTAACGATCAGGAGTTTTTACTTTTAGAGATAATTGTTAAGTCAATGGGTCATGGGGATGGTAATGGCCTATGGGATGGCCGCGTGGTGATGCTGGATGATAATTATTTATTCGAACAAGTAATTGAATGTATAGGAAAATATGTATCCATAACATAGGAAAATAAGACAATGATTAAGTTTATCTTTTAGTGATCGAGCATAGTGCGAGGATTCGTAAATGTTGAGAAATTGACACAAAATAGATTGAAGTCTTTGTCAGAGTGATGGCTATGGGTTTGTTATATATATATATATATATATATATATATATATATATATATATATATATATATATATATATATATATATATATATATATATATATATATATATATATATATATATATATATATATAGGGAAATGATCAAATGAGAACGCCTAAAAAGTTGAGAACGCGAGAACAAATCTGATACATTAAATATTTATAATATAAGGATCTCATTGTTAATTAATATAAAGAAATTAATAAATGAATTTAATTGTTTTTTTAATTAAAAAAAATATAAAAGGGTATTCAAGTAATTTTATGATGCTATCCAATTTGAATATATCGGGTAAGTTTGAAAATTAAAAGAAACTGTTCCTATGTTTTAGTAATCATAGTTACCTTCTAATGTTTTGGATGATTCGATCGTATCTTTAAAGAAAAATAGCGTCACGGATAAACGATTATACCACATTCGAGTGATACTGTGCATTTGCATTCTGAACTTTGTGAAGCGTCGTAGGTGGAGCAATGTCGTCGTTGATCAATCGAAGTGGAAGAAGTAAGTTTTCTAATCTTTATTGAATGTTGATTGACTGGAAAACGTGTGTATTAGTGTGTTTAGGTTTTTATAATGTGTACATTTGACGATTCTTAAAACCCTAGAAGTTGGGTGTTTCGTTTTTTCTTTATATCATCGATTATGAACTGTAGGTATTCTTCATCTCTGATGAATGTTGTTTTAAATGTTTTGTTTCACAAATAACACGTTGGTGTATTTGATTGTTAAAATGAAAATGGTAATTATAGATGAGTTCCGAATTTACGGTATTGTGATTTTGAATGTGCTTAAAAATCAACAGTTTATGATTGTGTTTGATAGTTATAAAATGAATATACATGTGTAATCGTAGTCCACTACTTTGAACTGAAATAAGGTTACGTAAACCCAAAAATTAGGGCTTTTTTTACATCATAAGTAGCACAGGAAGAGTAATTGATGTTAGTATTCGATTGTGAATGTTTTTTAGTTGACAAATAATAGCGAATTGTTAGAATGTCATTCATTAATAATGATTACTTGTAAAATCCGATTATGCGACAGAAGTACTTTTCAAGTATTAATCGTTGTTGTTGGTTGTATGTTTTGAATATAGTTAAAGTGATATTCAGTTGTGAATGGGTACTTTATTGAGTATGTATGTGGTTTTGATCCTGTACATGTTTTTGTATGTAAAGATTAATGATGTAGGAGTGCAAACTGTTTTATGTGGGTAAGTTAATTGCACTGTATGTTTGTTGATGATAGTTGTAAACATTACTCTGATTTTGGGGAGAAGACGAGTCATTGATGTTAGTATTCGATTGTGAATGGTTTTTATTAGAAAAAGAATAATGAAGGGTATAAATGTCATTTATTACTATTGATTACTTGTAGAAACGGATTGTTTTTGAGACATAAGTACTTTTTCTATTATTATTCCTTGTTGTTGGTTGTATGATTTGAATATTGTTAAAGACATAGTCATTTGTGAATATGTACTTTGTTGACTATGTTTTGTATGTTAATACTAATGATGTATGAGTCCCAACTGTTTTACGTCACTAAGTTAATTACACTTGTTGTTTATTGATGATTATTGTAAACATTCCTCTGTTTTTTGGGTATGTGTTTAATGTAGAATGTATAATGGATGATTATTTGAGTTGTTAATGTTTCAATTTTGAGTTATAAATGATTAAGGTATATTAATGCTATTATTAGGTAGAAAGAAAAGTGAGAGGATATTACTAAAAACGGCATTCAGCAAATTCACTAATGAAGAATCCAATCCATTGCTTATTGATATTGAAGATGCAGACAATGAAGGAAACGAACTAGTACAACCTCAGATTAGAAGAGAAGGACAGAAGAAGTTTTCAACACCTAAGAAGAAAACTAAAAATCAAACTATTGGTGATGATGATTATATGAAATTTAAAATTTTAAATATCAATTTGAATCTATAGTGATTATGAGTCTTATTTTTTGGACAGGTGTGGGGGAACGTGTTAATCGCACACCAGCTCATTCAATGCGAATGGATCTTAAAGTTGTAGTTTTGAGCTCAGATTCAAGTAATGTACTTGTTTAGAAATAAATTTATTTACAGTTTGATGTTGTAGTTAGTTTTAATAACTTGTTTGTTTTGTATTTATTAATAGAAAAAAACAGGAAACCCAAAGTCAATGTGAAGAAGGTTGATGGAGGAAATTCAAGGTTCTCTAAAGCTAAAAAAAATATACAGAAAAAAAAAGGTATGAATGATGATTTCATGAAATGTAACTTATATATTAAAGTATCTTCAGTGATGATTATGTTGTCTAATTATTGATAGGTTTCATTGAAAGTTATGACTTGACAGAAGACAGTGGATTAAATAGGGAAAATGAATTGAGAACAAAAAGACGTTTTGATAGATGTAAAACAAAAGGTGATGAAGTTGTTGTTATAAACTCATTTTCAGGTAGTGTTATTTTCTTTAATAAATTTACTATAGCATTGGTATGGTAATTTATTTATAATCATTTATTGTGTTAAATTTGACTTAACAGGAAAAGATAATGTTACTGTCAAAACCTTGACGAAGATGAAGACTCTGATTTTGAGGCAGACATAACCGTGGTAACAAGGAAAAAGAGAAGGCATCATACTTCATTCAAAGATGATGACAAAGAAAATGTGAAGAAATTTAAAAGACAAAGGAATAAAGAAGGAAATGTGTTGAAGCCAAGAAAACATCCTAAAGTTGTAGCAAGTGGTGCAGAAGAAGCTAAGCGAATACAAGTACGGACATCTCCAAATGTTTTGTACAGTTGTATGCATAACCTTAGCAAGGAACAGGAAGCTTATATTTCTTCTATTGGTCTGGGGCATTTGTTGAAGATGAAAGTGGATGGGTGTGCATCAATTATGGGGCATTATATTGTAAGGAATTTTAACGCAGATAGGATGGTACTCAAACTTCATCATGGAGAGATACCAATCAATCGGCAAGTTATTCACGAAATGTTGGGTCTGCCTCTGGGACATGTTACAATAAAGTCTATGCCTTATAGAGAAGTCACAGATGACACGATAACTGTTTGGAGAAAACAATTCGAAGATGAAGATAATATTAGACCAAGGGCAGTTCAACAAGTTATTATGCAGTCAACACGTGCGGATTTAATGTTTAAAGTAAACATCTTTGTCCTGTTGTGTAATACACTAGGTCAGTCGATGAGCATGGGCACGTGTGACCTGTCGATGTTATCAAAAGTGACTAAAGATCTGGATCTAAGTGACATTGATTGGTGTGGATATGTTTTTGATTGCCTTAAGGAGACAAAAAGTGCGTGGAATCCAAACAGCAAAAAAGGATTCTATGTTGGGCCAATTATATTACTGCTGGTAAAATTTGTTTTAAATTAAACTGTCATTCAATATTTGTAGCCTTATGTGTGCAGATTCATTAAAGTGTATTTAAGTAAAACATTTTTTATTTGTCTTTGTTGTAGTTGCTATACGTAGAAAGTGTTCGATGCGATTCAGTGAAGATTGTACGATGCAGACCAGCAATATGTTGTTGGAGTGTTGATAAACTACGTGAGCGAGAAAGAGTAGAGTGTAGGACAATTGGTCTGGGTATGGGTGAATTGCAAGATCCATTTCAATTCATCAATGAAGCATCGGGAACTGGTAATGTAGGGCAAGAAAAAGTTCAGGTAATATTTTATTGTATTGAACAATGCATATGAAATTTATTATTTGTTTATTTGGTATAGTATAAATTAATTACATTCATAAATTATTGATAGGGAAATGATGCAGGAGATGTAAGGTGTAAGGTAGTATATAATATAATCATAACTAAATAATAAGTTATTAGTACAACAACTAATATTGTGTTGCTTTTCGTAGGGAAATCATGGAGATGATATTTTTAGTGGAAGTGGGGAAACTGTTGAGGTAGTTAACTACCTATTCACATTTGAATAATGAGTTTCTACAGTATTAATTAATACTAACTGACATATTAATATTTTTATTTGGTTTGTAACATAATTCTATTGTGGTGACCTATTTAGACAACTGTTTCAACAATAAAGGAGATGTACGACATGATATTGCAGCAAAAGAAAGTGTTGGAAGAAAAAATAAATGATGCTGTCAAGAAATATCCTGATAATCAGTTGGTCAAAGAATGGAAAAACAAAGTAAATGATTTGTTTACTGAAGTTTCTGCATCAGAGGAACCAGAACAATCTCAATGGTGGTATGATAACGAGGCTGAAATTGAACGTACGCTGATTCTAGCTACAACTAACAAACAGTTTGACAACTCCGCGTTAGCAAAATGTAGTATTCAAATGTCACAGGAATATGCAGATTTCGCGAATAGATCTGGAACAAAATCTTTTAAGAATACACCACCATCTAAAATGGAAATGCCAATTCCTTTGTCTGTAGTACCATTCAACAAAGATGAACATTGGGTTAGTAGAAGAGGGTACAGGCCTCGCATGAAATCCGAATATCTGAAATCTCCTTACGTTATACGGGCTGTTGATATCATCAAAGGAGTTCCACGGCAGGAAAAACGTGTAGCAGAATGGATATTCTCTCTCCAGGGAGATCCAAAGTAAGTTGCATTTAAAATATTTTTAAAATTACTTACTTTTATTGTTTGCTCATTAAAAATAGTATTAATTGTTCACGTCTATTGCAGTGATATAGTTTTCCACACTCTGGATGGGTTTTCTGCACAGAGGTTTCATATGGAAAGTTTTTTTCCAACATGTGAACTATTTGGCCATGTCATTGATTGTTGGAGTCAAGTGTTGAATCTTGATGAAAGTAAGCGTGCACCTGAATCGCCCCTGAGAGTTTATTGCAAGACAGATGTGACGGTATAAGTTAATATTGTTCGATGTTGATTGTATTATTTTTTAAATACAAACATATAAAGAAGTTAACGAGTTTTTAAAAATCGATCACAGAATTCGTATCTAGAAAGTGGTTTAACAGAAAGTCAACGTAAAGATAAATTCATTGAGAATTTGGTGCTTTCTATTGAAGATATGGACGCAAGCCTACGTTTTGTTGGACTGGTAAGATATATATCTCCACAGTTTACTTACATGTGTATTTATCATTGATCAAATATGAATATAAATAAAGTGAATACAATTGTAATTAATAAACGTTGCAGCTTTTCCTACCAATCATCCGTTCCTTCCACATTTTCCTTTTTGTGATCAATCTACAACAACCAGAGTTTGTAATCGTTGACAACAGCAAAGTTGATGATCCTGATGGTGAGAGATATGGTCAGTTGCCCCAAATCATTGTAAGTGATTAATAAAAATTACTTTACATACTTAATAAAATTTAATATGTGTTAACAATGTTTTTTTTACATTTTCAGAAAGAGTACATAGTTGATTACTTAAAATCTCAGAATCATCCAAAAGCTGAGATGTTTTCACATGTGATGCCACATAGACTGGAAATGCCTTGGAGAACAATAAACAACAGCATTGATTGTGGTGTGTTTACGATGCGTCACATGGAAACATATATGGGGGGAAGTATGAATGAGTTTAAAGCTGGATTCAAGAACGAGTCTTCTGCACAAGATGATCAACTTGTTAAACTGAGGACAAAGTATTTATACAAAATACTCACTCATGAATATAATGTGCAAAAGGATTATGTGCTGCAAAAGGTTGATGAATTCCACAAGATTCCTTCAAAACAACGTTCTCAAATGTTGGCCATTGCAAAGGAAGAAATTCACAGGAGATTGGATGTTTTAAGTTAATTGTTTTAAGAAAGTAATTTTAGTTATGACTTTAATGGTTTCTTTTGGATGGATTAAAAACAATGCTTTTGTATGCTAAGGATGTTAACTTGGGTTGCTGTACGTACAATACTTACTTTTGGTTTGCTAATCTTAGTAATGGACTAGTGATATTTTAGTATTTATATTTTTACATTAACATTTGAATAATTAAGTTATCTTAGAAAATGATGATTAACATTGATGGTATAGTTTTAATGTATATTCAGTAATGATTCTAACTAACAAACATTTGTCAATATGCTATTTTACTATGAACATACAATCAGAGTTTTTAATAGTTAAAGTGAACATATCTATATTATATAATGATTGTTGGTGGGTTTATATCTTAAAGTAGGTTGTTATTTAAATATTGAATAATAGCATAAACACTTACTTGAAGTATTCCTAACATATTATACTTTAGTTCAACCTACATACTTACCTTTGGTTTGATAATTTTAGTAATGGACTAGTGATATTTTAGTATTTATATTTTTACATTAACATTTGAATAATTAAGTTATCTTAGAAAATGATGATTAACATTGATGGTATAGTTTTAATGTATGTTCAGTAATGAATATAACTAACAAACATTTGTTAATATGCTATTTTACTATGAACATACAATCAGAATTTTTAATAGTTAAAGTGAACATATCTATATTATATAATGATTGTTGGTGGGTTTATATCTTAAAGTATGTTGTTATTTAAATATTGAATAATAACATAAACACTTACTTGAAGTATTCCTAACATATTTTAATTTAAATGCAAATTGTTTTATCTTAAATGAATAGTATTTAACAATGTTCATATCATCAATATGTTGAAAATAATTAACGTATTTATGATGTTATTCATTATTGACTACACTTAAGGGTTAAAAAGTCAACCATGGTTAAACTTATGACTAAAATTTACCCAAACGCAAACGTAAATCAATATATGATGTATAGCTATTTTAAAAGTTAATCGTACAAACATTTGGTATTAAGATATACTACTAACAGCATACAATAAACTATGAATATTGCTTGGATTGTATATGACTATAGTATATAATGATTGATGGTTTTATAATTTGAAAAAAGCACAAGTATATCTATTGTAAGTGCGAACTGTTTTAATCTAATAAAAGAGGTTTAAATACCAGATATTGTCATTAATCTGTTAGCATTACCAAATTTGGCATTGCTATTATTCATCTATGAATAAAATAAAAACTTCAAAAGTAATGAAAGTGGTTTAAGATAACATAACCTACTAAATCATAGAAACATATTCGTATTCATAAGTGTAATAAAAAAGTAAAATCTAATGGGAAAATGACTGGGCAATTTTAAGCTGCTTTTGACTCTCGTGCAAGTCTTACTTTGCAACTAACCATTCTTTTCTTAGTTCCACTACCTTTGGTATGTATAGATGCAGGTGGATGGATATTTATTTCATCAGGAATGCTGCGTATTCCAAGCATCCGAATAATTTCTTCTTCATCGTTATCAGATGATGTTTGGTTGGAACTGGCAAACTCAATTGCTGCCCGCTTCAACGTACGTGTTTTTTCAACAAACTCCAACAGTTTCTCTTTGCTTCTTTTAAAATGATCCAAGCAATATTCAATATTGTTGTATGCCTCTGTTAAAAGTTTAAATGTGTCATCTTCTATTTCCATGGCAACATGTTTCATGGCAAACAAATGGCTGGAAATTGCATCCCTACTCCATCTTCTTAGAATATACTGCTCTGGAATCTCTTCAATATGGTTGTTTTTCAGTACAGCAAAAATATGACGACACAAAATGCTAGTACGTATGAAGTGATTGCATGAACATTTAACTTCTTTTTCAAGCAACTTTAGTTCAACCTACATTGTATAATAAAAATAATGTATGTTAGTAACTGATTGAAGTAACATATTAGTTGGTGGTTATTGCATAATAATGAAAAAAATATATGTAATTTAAAAATAATTAGATATTATACTTGTATGATGACTAATGAAAAGCATTTAAACGATGAATATAACCTTGCATTTTATCTTCAACTGTTTGCTCTTATCCGTTTGTGTAATCATAACAACTTGCCACCCATCAATCTTTTCAACACTGTCGATAGAACAGTACCAGGCTGCTTTAAATATTTCCTTTTTGACCTCATAGAAAATATTTTTTGTGTAAACCGCAACTGCATGTTCTAGTAAGCCACTTGGAAGCGTCATTTCATGCTTTGCATTTTTTGTATCATGTTCTAGTTTATGTTGAGCATTTCGTTGCTTTGCAATGCGGTGTCGTAGTTCATCATGAAATAGATAAGCAAATTACCACAGTTAGAGTATTTATTAAAAAATGAGTTCACGCTTTCAGACCTTGAAGTAGTTTTCATCAGACCGTGTAGTGACATGTCTTTAAAATAGGTTGGAATCCAAAGTTTTCTATCCCTGTACATGTCTTTGAACCATCTTTTGTCCTGTAGTTTGAATTTTCTCATAAGCAGTTTCCACCTTGATTCAAACACTTCAGGCTCGATATAGACATTCCATACAAGCTTTGTAAAACGCTTGCGAAAATCAGTGTTTTTCAAAAAATCGGTTGAAACCTAAAAAAAATAGAAATTTATTAGATTAACTATGAATAAACAATATGTATGCTAATTGTTATTAGAAATATGTAAAACTGTGTAAATCATTGTTGAATAAAACTATTGCGTGCTAACTTAGGCCAAAATATACACACCTTGGCTTGTAGTTTTTTCATAATGTGCCACATACATAAACGATGATTAGAATTAGGAAATATTGCTTCAACGGCCTGTAGAATTGCTGGATCTTGGTCTGTTAACACTAATTGAGGGTGTTTCACATGTGCTTTCAAAAAAGCTTCAAGCAACCAACGATAAGATTCTATTGACTCGTTGCTTAACAAACCTGCCCCAATGTTTATTGAACGTTTGTGGTTATCAATGGCTGTAAACGGCACAAAAATCATTCCATACCTGTATCAAAAAGGTAATTAAAAACAAATTCAATATTGATTACGAAGTCAAAAAAACATCAATATTCATACTTAAAAAAAAAGTGTGTAATGAGTATAAGAGCATACTTATTTGTTCGGAATGTAGCATCAAATGATATCACATCTCCAAACTCCTTGTAATATAACTTATCAGTTTCATCCGCCCAAAACATTGCGTTTAACACACTATCAACACATTTATACTCAAATGTGTAATTATGAAACTCATCTTTCCTCATGTTCATTTTGTCAACAACCAGCTGTGCATCCTTATCACCAATAATGTTTCCCACCTTCCTTCTGAAATTTTTATAATCAATTGATTCAGGACCAATGTTTTCATAACCTCCTTGCAAACTAGCTTGTAACTTGTGTGCCTTTGTTGCACCAATGTTAGATGTTGAAGAACGCACTATAAACTCCTTGTCTTTGTAACTAAGTCGTCGTGCACGTTTGGAATACCGTCTTTCTTCTTTAGTCTCTAGGGGGTGGTTGTGATTCTCTTCAAACTCATATATTTTACATGCATTAGTTTGCATATGTAACCTTTCAAACTTTATCAATGCCTTGCAGTCCGTAATTTTGAAGTTTGAGTTTCGTTTATTCCTTCCACTCCCCTCAGGATCCAAAGTGTCAGTTGATCAGTTAGGTATTTTACCCATTTTGTTGCAAACTACATACCTTTTTTTTAATGGTTTTGTCACCAAACCTCGTTACTGTATTTAACCTGACACCAAAACCTGCTTTATCTGCATATAATTTATACATTTCAACCGCCTCCTCTAATGATTGATATATAGCATCTACATCTGGCATAAAATCTTTAGGAACAATAGGTTTCCACAACTTGGTTTTCCCACCATGCGAGTCAACAACATTACTATTGAATGATTCCTCTTCAGAATCAGTTCGATTTGTACCTGTTTTTTAAGACAACAAAAAACAATAATGCGACATGCAAAACCTAATATAAAATTCTATGAATTACGTATACATAAACTAAAGAACTTTATAATCATAATAAACATATGTGAAACAGTAACCAAAGTTGAATTGTTTACATGTTTGAGTCGTATTAACGCGTAATCACCAATGATTATCGAACTTAATCAATATTGTATTAAACTTAAGAAAAAAACACCAACGAGGGACTCCTGTACAACGATATGTGATATAAACCATCATTACGTAATTAATACATGCAACGTATATGACTAATCATATACAAATATGTACTCGGTCTTATTCAACATATACAAAAACTCAATAACTATTGAAAACCACGATCTGTAATTACAAGATATTGACATTGTTTTCATTAGTTACCTTCACCAGCATAATCAGAGATCTGATTTCTTCCGTCGAATTGATCATCAGACTTATAGAAATCGTCGTCGTCATATTCATTACAGTTGACGTCTTCTTCGTCATATTGATCATCATCTTCTGTATCATCGCTACTGTAATCAAAACAGTCCGACATCGATATTGATTTGAATCACGAATGGTATATTGCGTTGTTATCTTCAAACGTAAATGATTAACAATATACAACATTCGACTGAAAATCCGATTGCTATACACGAATGGTCCCTGGACATCGTATCTTCAATTCAATATCTCATTGAACGATAACTATGGAATATCCCTTAATTATAGGAAAATATTAATGGATAATATATTGATTATTAATTATATTATATTAATTAAAAAATAGATTAAATACAAATTTACTTAAATACCCTAATACAATGATTGGTTGATAATTGTTCTCGCGTTCTCAACCTTTTTGGTGTTCTCATTTGATCCTACTCATATATATATATATATATATATATATATATATATATATATATATATATATATATATATATATATATATATATATATGGAAAAGGGAATATACATTACAGCTCCACCTAAGCTTAGGTACTAAACCTCTTGAAAATACATTGTTTTACTATATAAAGATTACGGTTATTGGATTCACGGTTAATACTTCAAGATGTAAATCAAGATTGACACAATAGGGTTTAGGGTTTAGGGTTTAGTGTTTATGTTTTGGGTTTGGGTTTAGGGTTTAGGTTTAGGATTTAGGGTTTAAGTTTAAGGTTTAGGGTTTAGGGTTTAGGGTTTAGGATTTAAATTTAGGGTTTAGGGTTTAGGTTTAGAGTTTAGTAATGTTCACTTGGGTGAAGTAATAAACAATAATTGAGGAAAGAAAACAGAGATGGTAACACAATAATGAAAGAAATAAATGTTATGGAGGATGATATATTTACCATGTGAAACCAAACCGGACATATTTAGCATGTTAAAATGACATATTTTAGCGGTTTAGTACCTAAGCTTAGGTGGGGCTGTAATGTATATTCCCTATCCCCATATATATATATATATATATATATATATATATATATATATATATATATATATATATATATATATATATATATATATATATATATATATATATATATATGGGAAAATGACTTAAAAAGGTAACAAAGTTTCAAAAATCTACAAAAAAGACCATTGTTATTTTTTTGTACACAAAATACCATTTTACCGGCTATTGTAGGTTACCCGGTTTCCAAATGTTCAAAAAATACTATTGTTGTTTTTTTAGTACAAAAATATCATTAATGTTACTATTTGTACACAGAATACCAACGAAATACACATGTGTTCAACTAAAACATTGTGGTAACCAGATACTTCACGTAAATGGGAAAATAACTTAAAGTGTAACAAAGTTTCCAAAATGTTTAAAAAATACCACACTTTTTGTTAATTGTGTTGTTATCGGATTATGTAGAACACAATCACCGAAGATCATGAACCGTTATATCAGTTCACAACAATTGTGCAAATCTTTTTCATTCTTTCACTTGATTGTTCTTATGGTATCAAGAGAAGTAAGTGGGTAATAACATTAGTTAAACATTATTTCTTCCCGATCACATTATATGTCTCAAACCTAAAACATATATACGTTATATAGATGCACATATTATACATCAAAGTTAGTCGTTCATTAGTGTTGCGACACAAGAGAGACACAAAGGAGAAATGAGTGTGATGTTATGTCATGAGAATTCCTAAATATGAATTTAGATACAAACTGATCGAGTGATGGAATGAAAGATAATACACAACTTGTGTAAACTGGTACGACAGTGACTAATCTCTGATGACTGTGTTCTATATAATCCAGAAACAACGAAGTTAACAAAAGGTGCTCTGAAAAAATACCAATGGTTTTTTTTTTTTTAACATTTTGGAAATTTCAATGGTATTTTTTATGCTAAAACAATAATGATATTTTTTGAACATTTTTAAAACTTTGTTACCTTTTTATGACATTTTTTCGTTACCCGCAAGGTTTTATTTGAACACATGTGTACTTCATTGGTATTTTATGTATAAAAGATATACTTTAATGGTATTTTGAGTACTAAAAATAAAACAATGTATTTTTTGTACATTTTTAAAACTTCATTACCTTTTTAAGTCATTTTCCTTATATATATATATATATATATATATATATATATATATATATATATATATATATATAAGCGAGATCGGTTGAGAACTCATAGTTTCCCGAAAACCTGAAAACTAAAAGTGGAGCATTAGATTAAAATTAAATCATTAATGGCATGATCGTCATCTTACTGATCTCGTTTAATGTTTATTTATTTATTTATTTTTGTTATTGGAAATATTAATAAAAAGTTTTGAATTAACAAAATAAATAAAATTTTGGATTTAAAAAAAAAATTATTTTCTATTTAAAAAAATGAAGATTTTTTTTTTTCAAAACACACACACACACACACATATATATATATATATATATATATATATATATATATATATATATATATATATATAACTGTAATTTTTTTCAAAAAAACTATATTTTATAAAAAAAAATGCATGCTTTTAAAAAATAAACTATATTTTTTTTCAAAAAAAAACTGCAAAAAACAACATTTTTTTAATTGTAAATTTTTAAAAATCAATCAATAAATAAAAAGCTAGAATATTTTACAAAAATCTTATTTTTTTAACAAAAAAAATCAACGTTTTAAGTGTATATTTGCATATTTTTACAAATGCATATATGAATATTTCTTATAATATAATATTCGTAAGTAAATTATAAAAAATCTCATTTTTATTAATCAATCTATAAAGATAATACTACAAGTATTTTATTCGATACAAAATAAAATAAAATAAAATAAAATAACTACAAAAATTTCACAGTGTTATCATTTCTTTATATCAAAAATTTCATATTTTTTTTAATTTATCATTTTTCCACATCTTCAATATTTTCCATAAATTCTTCAAAATCTACAAGAATTTTTTTTTTGATTAATGCAAGGAATCACATGTAATTCATATGCGAATTACATGTTATTTACATGTGAATCATATGTAATTCTTATGTGATTCACTTGTGATCTACATGTGAATCAGATGTAATTCATATGTGAATCACTTGTAATTTATATGTAACTCATATGCGATTCACTTGTGAATTACATATGATTTACATGTGAATCACATATAATTCATATGTGAAACACATGTAAATTACATGTGATTCATATGTAGATCACATATAATTCATATGTGAATCACATATTATTTACATGTGAATCACATGTGATTTACATGTGAATCACATGTAATTTACATGTGAATCACAAGTGAATCACACATGAGTTACATTTGATTCATACTATGAAATGATATAAAATAAACCAAAAAAAAGTGAAAGAAACTCACCAATCCCCTAGCTTCTACAACTGATGCAAGATGAATATGCACGGTTGTTTCCTATTGATTTCAACCTATACATATTACTAAGTGCATACGTTAGAGTTATATATAGTTAAGATTTTACAGACTTATGAAATATGATTTCACTTTAACTCCTGTCCCTTATTTGGTTGTGAGCTTAGACTAGAATCGTTTATTCGATTGTCTTTCAAGCTTGATTTTTATACAGATTTTATACACGAAACAATTATGGAAGGACTAGGGTGGACACGCTACTACTGGGGGATCGTAGACAAATTAACCAAACCCATACACTTCCTAGCAACCAAAGCCACAGAGAAACACCCCCAAAATAAGCTCACAACCAAATAAGGGCATAAAATTCTTATTTCACCTCGGGTATCAAAAACAATTGAACCGGCCCTGGGCGGGGGCCCAGTGTATATGATTATGTGTATGGTATGTGGTAGGTTGGGGACTCACTAAGCTTTGTGCTTACAGTTTTCAGTTTTGGTTTCAGGTATTTCCAGTTGCAGAGAGAAGAGCTCGGGATGACTGCATCGCACACACCAAGATGTTTTAGCATGGGATGTTTTACTCTGATGTTTTGTTACTTTGATAATAATTTTTGAGATACTATAACTAATGTTTTGATGAAATGATTTGATAACTATGGTTTTATTAATGATTTAAAACAAAAAATTTAGACCTTATTTTTGGGGATGTTTCACTTACGGCCATAGAGGGCTTCAAATGGAGTCTACAATATGACTGGTCCGCCTGCACCGGGCCTTCAGTCTGTCTAGTCCACTCTCCGAGCCTCGGCACGTATGGTCCGCCCTCTTGGGGCCTTCAGCCCATCCGGACCGCTTGCCGAGCCTTCGATCTAACCGGTTCGCCCTGGGTATGTTGGCCTACAGCACAAAGCAAGACCCGCCTCAACCCAACCCCAGTCCAACAACCATGTGCACACAAACATATAATCATATAGCAATTCACCACTAATCAACCGATCTAGCAGATCATATAACATAGCAACATCCTAACCAGGATACCGACCTAACTGGTCACTAACATAGCATCATCCTATATACCAGGATACCGACCTTAACTAGGTCTCTAACATATACCATCCTAACTACCAGGATACAGACATAGCAAAGCAATAACATAACAAACAACTACCCGGATTCCCATCCGAAAAAGGGCCGACGTTGGTGCCTTAGACCCTGTCGATATAGTGAGGATAACTTACCTGTAACTGCCAACTTGAAGAAATAAGACCACGCTGCTCCGACCACCAGCACGAACTTCACCACTGATCATTACCAAATAACCAAAACCAATAAACACCAATAATTACCAAAATACCCTTGGAAGTCAAACTGGTCAACCCTTGGTCCAAGTCAAAGCCCTCAGTTAAAGTCAACCTTCCTGGTTGACCCTACTCGCCGAGTCAACCGTTGACTCGTTGAGTTCTTATGCTCAGAAACTCCCATGCCACGACTCAACTCGTCGAGTCGCCCCACTACTCGTCGAATCCAACAAGCTCTGAGTCCCTTCGTGCTCAACTCCTCGAGTCATCCCTCGACTCACCGATTCACAGCTCAACCAGAAAAGGTTAGGACTTCACGACCAGACTCGTCGAGTCCAAGAATAGACTTGCTGAGTCCAAGGCAATCTTCAACAGACTCACCGAGTCCATGCACATAATCATACAACTCGTCGATCACACCCATGTGACTCGCCGAGTCTCTTCAGTTCTCATTCCATATAGAGGCT